TGCTAGCCCGGCCACATGCTTTGAGAGAACGAACGTACACCGAGAGAACATTTTCTAGTCGACACCAGCGTCTTTAGCTCGTCGCACTAACAATGATAGCTTTAAGTTCTTTAACCTAGTGAATATCAGACGCGGCTACAATCCCGAACCTTCGTGCCCAAGCCATATTAACCTATAAATACTCTCACAGCCCTGAGGCATAAACCTCAACCCAAACCAGTGCCAGCCTCTCTCTTCTTCCTCGACTCCCGATTTCCTAGCACCAACAGGTAGCAGCTAGCTAGTCATGGCGTCCTCCAAGTCCCTTGCCCTCCTGCTACTCGTGGCTCTGTCGGCGACGGCCATGTCCGCCGCCGGTCAAGGCTGCGACGGCCACAAGGTGACGGTGCAGAACCTGTGTGGCCACGACCTGAACCTGGGCATCAACGCGGTCTCGAACAGCAAGATGCTCTTCCCCAACGGGTGGCTGCTCCCCAACGGGAGGCACGAGTCGTTCGACGTCTGCGCGTGGTCGGGGAGCGTGTCGGCGCAGGGCGCCGCCGTGGCCAAGTTCCACATCGGCCATGAGGGCGGGGCGTACTACGAGGTGAGCACGGACCAGGCGAACATGCCCATCCGCGTCTCCGTCACTCCGCACGGCAACCCGCTGCAGGGGCACTGCCCCACTGCCGGATGCAACAGCGGCAACCACTGCTTCGAGCACTCCGTCCCCGGCGGCAATTGCCATGGCGTCTCCGAGATCAAGATCATCTACTACAACCCATAGACCGATCGTCCGCCTACGTAGTACGTAGCTGCTGCACCTACTAGTGTTGAATAATGCTGCAGCTAAGCTCGATCGTCAGTGGCGTTCCACCGACGTGGTTGTACCGTCGTCAGTCGTGCAGTGTCGGATTTGCAGTTTAACTACTATATTTTGTGGTACGTACTAAAATGTATACATGATCGGAGGGAAGACATCTCTTTTTTATATATTATAAGAAAAAACAAAGTATACATAACGGCCTGAGTCTAGAGCCACTTTGGTTCAAGTATATTTGGAAAAAGCAGAAATTGGAAAACTCCATGATTGTACGCCATGCCTATTTGAATCCTATAATTACCCCAACAGCTAGTTTGGCACCCTTCATTTCATTTCATTTGGTAGAAATGAAATGAAATGGAATCTCCATGGGGATCTCATTTGTTTGGAATGGAAATCCAGTTGCAAAAATCATGTTTGGCTGCCACAACGATTTCTAGATTGAAATAACTACCATATCCTGTTTGGCTACCATTTTGGCAACAATTGATAAACTAACACATAATCCAACTTCAGAAATGAACTTCATAATGCACAGACTAATCCACATATTAAAATTCAACTACATCTGACATGTTCATCTTCATAAAGCACAAAATGTGGCC